ATTTTGATGCATTTTCGGCCTTAAAATGGCCGCTATTCGACTATCGTTAATCAGATCATGAAAAAAATGCATGTGCATATGTCCCATATAATGTGTGATGTATGAGTGAAGTTTGAACTTAATCGGTCCATGCATGTTCGAGATACAGGTGATCACGGACGGACGGACGCACGGACGCACGGACGGATGCACGCATGCACACAGGGCAAAACATAAGTCCCCGTTTTCGGACTGCGTTCGAACGGGGACTAATAAAAGCATATTTTACTGATCACCTCATTAGTGCTGTTTAAAGAGTTAAAAGCTGCTTCTTCTGCTGCATAGTTGCTTTCTTCTGTGTTTGCCCATACTGACAGCCACCAATCTGACATTACAAACACAGTCTGGAAATGAAGATACAGTTGACATGAATTGACATATCCTATTGAAATAATGTGAAAATTAATAAAATCTGCCCCCTTTCCTCTTGTTATGGCAAACTCCTTACAAATCACTATGGGTATGCAAGAGAGGTAGCTGCTCTACAATAGCAATGACATGAACCTTTTGTGTGTGATGTATGTATGAAATGATTGAATGAAATCTGTCCAGTCACGCCAAAATCCAGTTACAAAAGGCAGAAATGCTAGATTCAGACATACAGACTTCATCAGGAAGTGAACTAAAAATGAAGACATATTCACCTGTGTGAAGAGGTTGATTATAAGTAAGACAGCAAATACAAGAGCTCCACCACCAGCTTTGAAGTATTCCACATAAATTCTCCATCCTATTGTACTTGTTCTTCGTTCCTCTTCTTGCATCTTGGCTACTGGTTCTTCAGGCTTAAAGAAACAACAAGGTATAATATTTCTGCCCTTATTTCTTCACATTGTTTGTATCATACATTAATTTCCATTCATGCCACCCACATCCTTTCATTACATAAGTGCTTAGTAACAAGCTTTGATCTGTCACATTTTTTTTTGCCTAATTTTAATGAATGTATTAAAGTTTATCAATGCACTCTGTGATACAAAATGAATATACACAAGATTTAAGATTAGATTGTGCATGCTTTGCACAAGTAAATATAAGCTTAACATGCATCTTACCATGAAATCTGAGGTCAATGAAGATAGTGACATCTTGGAGGAAGTCAAATTAGATTTAGATTTAGATACTGCAAGTCTACACTCTGATGATGATGAGATAGAAAGAGGCCTCTTTTTCTCCTCCTCATCATCATCACGTTTCAATAATTTAGCAAAGTCAACACCCTTGTCCAACAATTCATTGAATGTACCAATGTCAGCCATCTCACCCTGTAGATGCAAATTATAATTGACTCAAGTAAGCAGCAAGTTTGACTTTAAACTATCATAATTTCATATTACTGTAATAATGAAGTTATTTAGTTGTTGATCACCATAAGCATGGTGGTTATTGCATTGCAGCCACGATCGATAGACCTTAGTTCAATTATGTTGACCACCATAGACTCAATAAAAAGGGCAAACTAAAGTCACGAGCTGAGATTCATTTACTAACAGATGCAACTTTGGGGGAACCTTGGTTAAGCTCAGTATATTAAATTTCCATGATGATAGAAAGGTGATCACATAGCCCTGCCATGAAGCACCAAGCATGAAAGTCAGGAGAGGCAACAGTAATATTCAATGTCTGACACTGTCGCCTGGCACAAAAAATATTTGAAAACCAAATTATTAAGTTGTTTCTTAATTTATTTAACCTATCTATATCAATCCATTTTCAATTAAAGGGGCACAATTGGTACAATTTCTTCCCGAATTCTCTGTTTCAAATACCATACATAAATGACACAGGTGCTATCTATGGTCAAAATAAGTTACATTTTAAATGGTCATTTTTTGGTTTCTGTGCACTGCTATTAGAAATGTGCTTCTAAAATAGCAAATGTGGTATTGACTCGTTTCATATGCTTAAACATGTTTAATCTCAAATGAATACACTGTGTGTGTAGTCTATAATCCTACAGCCAGCATTATATCATTTGAGTGTCACGGACAGACCTAATATTCAGTGGAGCTATACATGTACACAGGTTGCTAGTTGTTTCAGCACACCACTCCACCCAATTACCGTCCAACAATCAGAATAGTTATTGAAGTTACCATTTAAAAACAGGGTATGGTATAATGACAGAACTACTACTTGGTTGAAGTGTTGACTAGATGTTTGTTGAAATGCATCTTCTGATTCAACTCAATGAGTGATATGATATTAAAATTATGTTGAACAAGTCATCAACTATCATTTTAATATCAGTGGAGAATAACCTGCAGGAACCCAGCATGGTTATAATCATTTAGTTACTATTGTAATATCATCTAATTACCAAACATGTTTGACATTTGTAGATTATCTCCAAATGCTTACCTCTTTAAGGATGAGTATTTTATCAGCAGCCTGCAAGTACTGCAGTTGATGAGTTACTAAGATGCATGGTTTAGAAGACAAATAAGTTTTAATGCATCTGGAAATAATAACAAATTGCAGTTAACATTGTAATTAATCTTGAAACGCATCAATAACCCAGTGGATTGGTAAAGATTCAACATAAATGCCTCAAATTGAAAACTAGAAACACAAGACATTTTACTAGTCTCTGTTTTTGTATTAAAGGATGTTTGCACCAAGTATGAATGAAGTGGAAATTTTGTGATTTTTGTATTCTTATTTCTGTGCCTAAGATGCAGTTAACATTGTTTTTTCATGACGATGTAATAAATATTATTATTATACATCTGTCACCGTAACACCATAAGTTACAGCGTGCCGTACTTTTGCGGTATTTTACAGGGTATTTTCATCCTACCATAGAAAGAAATGCGAATTCCAAATATGGAATGATTACGTGCATAAGCATTCCAAATATGGAATGATTACGTGCATAAGCATCCTCTAATAATAAAAACAAACATGGCTGCCACCAGAGTTTAACCGGACTCCACACAAAGATGTTCGCTGATTCTGTTCTAAACATTTTGGATTTCGGGATTCCCACGATGTATCCTTGGAAGGAAAAGATGTATAATAAGGTCATTATGAGGATACCTTAAAGTATGCACTCAGACAGTACGCCGTGGCATCGGTTGACACTCCCGCTGTACTGTCTACGTGCATACTTTGAGGTATCCTCGTAATAACCTCATATTCACTTACTTGTTAAAAAGATGTCTTCCAACAGCAGCATCAACTGCACTCAGAGGGTCATCAAGAAGATACACATCTGCATCAGAATAAATAGCTCTTGCTAAATTCACCCTTGCTTTTTGACCTCCGCTTAAGGTCACACCCTTTTCTCCAACCATGGTCATGTCTCCTTGTGGTAACATTTCTAAATCCTAAAGTAGGAAACAAAACATTCTATTATTTCTTTATCCTCCAAGCAGTTATCTGCAATGGACAGATAAGAATAGTCATTGTATGATTTCCAGTGCACCTAAACATGATATTTGTCAAGAATAAACAAACCTTTACTACATTACTACATCAGCCTCCA